GGCAAACACACATAAATCACGTGACATTTTATATTAATACTAGTTTAATAAGGCATAAAAACGACATAGTATAATGAGTCATAAAAACGTCATAGTATAGTAAGGCATAAAAAGACATAAAAACGTCATAGTATAGTAAGGCATAAAAATTCATAAAAACGACATAGTATAATAAGGCATAAAAAAGTCATAAAAATGACAGTTTAATAAGGCATACAAATGTCATAGTATGGTAAGGCATAAAAATTCATAAAAATGACAGTTTAATAAGGCATAAAAATGTCATTGTATAGTAAGGCATAAAAAGTCATAAAAATGACATAGTTTAATAAGGAATAAAAACACCACAGTATAGTAAGGCAAAAAAAGTCATTTCGAGTTGCCACTTAACATGAAGTTGGCTGACATGATTCCGCCCACACTAGCAGTAAATCAAAGATGACGCCTACTCAGTCTATTCTTCCACGTCCTACGCATTGTAGCCTTGTCAGTTGTTGCCCAGTATCAATAACATTGAATTAGTCAATAATAACCCTGAGATAACAGTGCAACATGTTTCTGTAACATGTGCCACAAACCCATTCTGTTGACGTCTCCGTAGTTCGCGGACGTTCTTAGTATCCTGAACTCAAAGCAGAGTGAGACGTCTTGCTTCTTTCCCCTCTCTGATGCAGTTGACACCTCCAGGCCAACAGGAAGTAATAGCAACCAGGTCCAGCGTTTAGAGAGAATGGCGGCCTCTAGTGTCTCAGCTTTCCCACAGGTCCATCCATGATCCCGATGTAAGAGTGTGTAAGAGAGTGTCCGTGTATGAAGAACATGCTTTAAAATCTTCATAACATTTAACCTTTTTTTGTCTTTTTGGTAAAAAATAAATAGTGTCATCATCAAATGTTAATGACTGATGAATTTTTTCACTGAAGTAAAAAAAGAAGAGAGAACTACTTGTAAGAGTGTTTTTACTTCATTTAATGTAGCATCATTTATAATTTTACTTCAGTACTAGTACATATACATGTTGAAGTATCATTATGAGTTATATAAGTAGTTTTTTTTTTTTTCTCAAAGAATTTCAGACTGCATATTTATATTTTTGTCAAAGATGGAGGCTTTGTCATTGTGCAGTAAGTTATCTGTTTGTAATTCAAATAAAAAGTGATGATGATATCTTTGTACTTGGTTTTGGACAAAATCACCTGCCAAATGAATATAATGTAATAAACAGTAAAACTTACATTATTTCAATATAATAATAATAATAATAATAATTATTATTATTATTAAGAAATGTTGGCAGACGTTTAGAGTCCCACCTCCCCCAAGGAGCTTTAGATATCCACATACACTATCTGGCATCCATCACCAGAGTCGTCACACACATTGTGAATATTTATTCCCCCTCAGACATCACTTCCTCTAACACCAGGACTCTAGTGTGACCTGATAACTGCGTATGTTCTCATGTATAGCACAGGGAGGTGGCTGCTAAATGTTTCCTGTCTTGAAGTTGTAAAGTGTCTGTTTCCTTTCAACATGTTTAGTTGTTATATACTTCCTCACATCGATGACACAGTGACACTCTGGGCTGTCTCTCTGAAACCGTTCCTCTCTCCGAGTACAGCAGTGCTTTCACACACTCTCCCTGACACAGGGGCAGTGATCCTATGGTGCCCATGTCTAATAAATGAATGGCTGAAGCTCAATGTAGCAGCCACACAGACACGGTCAGATTCATTATGAGAAAGTCACCAAGAATGTAAAACATATTTTTTTCTTTTGTTTTACTGTCTTGAAAATGTTGAAATGTGATTACATTTACAAACACTGCAAATTCTAAAGTTTTGCAAAACTAATATTAACAACACAGAGCAAATATATCATATGAAAACTGAGCATGAAGGAAACAGAACAGAACAAAATGAGGTAAAATAGAATGAAAAGAGCAAATATGCAATCTTTACTGTAAAGCTTTAATAAGGGAAAACTTTATCTGTACTTGCAGCAATAACAAAATGCATACGTATATACAGATATTCAGAATAAATCCAGAGGTTTGGATTGGACAACAGCAAACAAACAATAAAATGCTATAAACATTAGGGCACATAAGCTCATCCAGATATCCTCCCCACACACACACACACACACACACGCAGACACGAGTCTGACTGATTGTCACATTAAACCTCTGTAGACGCTATTAAGACTGTTTTTTAAGGCAGTTTATGATTTAAAATCATGACTAAATAAAATAAATCATACACTTTTTGGCTTTTTTTTCCAAATGTTTCTTTGGATGGCACAGATCATTTCAAGAAGCAGGTGTGGAGCAACAACTACATTACATTGAAAAGTGAAATAAAAGTGATTAAGCATTAAAAAAAAAAAAAACAAAGACGTTTACAATCAAAGTTCAGAGGTACAAATTAAGTAATTTCTGACAAGAAATTACTCGAGGCTGTCATTGGTGAATCGCACTACAATGGTAATAAGTCTAAAAATAAACTGTCAGTAAAGCATGTCATTTAAAAAAGATTGAAAGGCAACTGATGTGATTTCATCATAAAAATATATATTTAGAGGAGAAAAGATGTAAACGCTGCTGAAGTTTCTCACACTTGTTGCATAAAATGACGTATTTTATCAAGGAGCAAAGCGTCGGGCAGCTGAGTGTCACTGTCGGACATGAACACTGCTGGACTGTCTCTGATGGAGGAACACCAGAGTCCAGACTGGGGCAGGTCTACTTTTTTTTTTTGTTTTGTTGGACAACATCTGAGGTAGAGAGTGTCACAATCACCAGCCCACAGCTGTTCTGTGGTGCACCGATTTTTCCAAAAGGTCTCCGAGTTTTCTTTTTTTCCTTAAGCAATCTGTCACTGTGAGCAGCGACAGACTGATGAGTGACATGTTCAGATGGTTCACTGACACTACCGGGAAGCTTCAGGGAGACGTATGACAACAAGCAGAGAGGATTTAACACTCTCAGCCATTTTCATTTCAATACATTTTTGGTCTTCAGAAAATGAAATTAAGGCTTTAAGGCAAATGCCCGTCAATTAAAGCACAACATTCTCCACAAAAACTACAAAATAAATACAACATGGAAACATCAAACACACTCCTTCGTATTCAAGGTTAACGAACTGGGCACAGAGTGAATGATTAACTTGACTTCACTTGACTAATGGTCACGTAGTCAATGATTAGTCAAACTCAAATCCTCTGTTCCATTTCAAATAGTGGAGACTCTGAAATGAAGAGATACTGTAGGTAAATGTGTAAAAGCCGTTTTATAAAGTGGCGAGGAACTAAATACAAACACCAGTATTTAATGTTTTTTTTTTGTTTTTTTTGGTCCTTTAAGAGGTCATCCTCCGAGCAGATGATCTGTTGTTAACACGTGTTTTATGACCTGGACCACGGACGTTCATCACATTGTAAATTCATGAAAATAAAAGGATAAAAATGTTGGACCAAATAACAGAGAAACATTCAACACATTTAAAAACAAGTCTCAGCACTGTGTGTTTTTAAAAGAAATACTGCTTAAAGTCACTAATACAATCAATTCATGTAGACTTGAACACAAACACAGCGTTAATATGTTCCTTATCAATCAATATTTAGGCTCATCACTGACAGTGGGTCTATTTGTACTGGCTAAGTGACAGACTACAAATTCACTGCGCCTGCACCTGGACGAATACTGTTGTTTTTACATGTCTTCTTCTTCTTCTTTTTTTTATTCAATAAAAGCACAAAACATTTCCCGTCTCCAGTCTGAAGGTAAGGGAATGATTCGACAGGTCTTGAGATGATGTGTCAGCGTTTCAGATTAAGTTCAGATTAAAGCTGCTTCCCTTCAAGTGTCTGAGCTTCTCTGCAGCTCAGATGATGACACTGACACTGACACTAACCCCCTGACTCCAGAATCCCTAGTTCCTGTGTCTTTGAAACGCTGCGGACCCAGTTCTCACATATGTCCCGTTTGGCTTTAAGACTGTTTTAACATGGGAATCCGGTCTGTGCTCCGGAGACGACAGTAAAGGAGGCGGATTTCCCCAGACATCATTAACAGACAAGTTTTAACGGATGGTGATTGATTCATATTTGTACTACATCTAAAAGTTTGTGCTAGCTGATAGTTGAGAGTAATAGAAGTCCACCTTTCCCTTAAGACTGCGAATCTAGTGTTATAGTAGGCACCCAGCGCGCCTTCTTTCCCTTCCCTTGTGACCGATATGAAATCTGCTGTTTATTTTTTTTTCCCCATTAACTTTTAAGCTTCAAGTTTCCTGCTCTGAAACAACGTCACGCTAATTTAAACAATCGAATGCATAGTTCTCCAGCATCACGCTCAACTTCAACCTACTGCTCTGTCTGATATGTTTCATCGCTTTGGCATTTTCTGACATTCTCCTACTGAAGGCAGTCATTATAATCAGGGCTACACACACACACGCACGCACGCACGCACGCACGCACGCACGCACGCACGCACGCACACACACACACACACACACCTTATCTAAATGCTGCCGGTCAGCAGCAGTCTCAGTCTGACCCCGTGTGTCTCTCCTTCAGTCTGTTCAGCGGGAGTTTAGAAGACGGACTCTCCAGTTTTGTGTTGCGGGTCTTCCGCGGCCTTTTCATGCTCGATCATCTTCTGGGTGATGTCTTGCTCCTTGTTGACCTTCTCCATCCTCTTGCGCCTGGCCTCCACCCAGGGTATCAGACACAGCACGGCTCCGCCGAAGATCGGGGGGATGCCCGCCAAGTAGAAGGCCACCTCGTAGTTCCCCAGCCTGTCCCTCAGGAAGCCTGCGACCAGAGACGGGCAGAGTTACCATGTTATCATGACTCCAACAAGGGGTCAGGAAAAGGTCAATAAAGGTCAAATTACTTAAACCCTGTCTTTAGTGGAACAACAGTAGAAACAGCTGCTGTATGAGACATTAATACAGATGCAGTTTATCACTTGGGAGTTTGGCCTGAAGCTTCGACCCACAATCACAACAATGACCTTACTGGAGCCTGAAGGGTTAATAATAAACCGGATTATCACAGGGATACTCTGTGTCTATTATTAGGTAAATCATTGATGCTGATTTTGTCAGCTGAGGCAGTAACCATGTGACAGCGAATAAAGGCATGGAACTACTTTCTCAAGATCACCAAACAGTGTTCAAAATATTTTATTTCCAGTTGTTGCTCGCAGGTGAAAGGAGCATGATTGTACCAGCCTGACGCTACAAATGAGGATGGACTCAACTACAACAGCTTGACTGTGATCTGATTTGCATGTTACATGTACATGACACTGACTTCTGTCATTTCCACCCAGTGTTTTCAAGGTTCATGTATTTTTTCAGCAACTGCGAGGTGCCAAATGAAACACTAGGTGGCGCAAAAGGCCTGTGAGTATCCGTGTGAGAGCGACCACTGTTCTTCATCTCTGGACAGTGACTGAGAGCCTCTACAGAACGCTGCAGGAATGTTTTTGTGTCAGGGGGCAAAGGTCACAAGGCCACTGAAGGTGTTACACCAGCTCCATTTTAAAAATAATAAAGTCAAAACCACTTTATTTGTGAGAAGTCTGAAAAGAAACAGCAGGAAAGTGTAGACAATAATATAAACACAACACATTCAGACAATCTTACAAAATAAAACATTTGCTGCAGGAAATAAAAACAGCTGACTGTTTCATCTCCAACAGTCGTTCGGCCTTAAATTATTCAGTAGATTTGGGATAACAGTGGAAAGACCAACTTTACTACAAAGACAGATTTATTCATTTAAAGATAAACTGATATATTCATTTCAATAATAACAATAAAATTAGTTTTTCTGGCTTTTCACAGCAACATAAACACGAGCAAAGAGGTTCTCTGAATCACCGTGGATTACTAGATCTGAACATGTTTAACACTGAGTCTGACTTCAGCCGTCATTTAAATGTATATTCGATGGGTCATTGTGAGAATTGACACAGTCTGTATTACCTGCGATGGGCGGCCCCACGGTCATGGGCACAGACATCAGGCCCAGCAAGAAGCCGATGGCCTGGGACACGTCTTTGGATCCGACCAGCTCGAAGGCGATGGGCGCCATGATGCAGATGAAGCAACCGTCAAACAACCCCATCAGCAGGCACACGGCAATCAGCCCGCCAAAGATTTTGCACAGCGGGATCATCATGGACATGATGCCGATGACGAAGAAGGACGTCACCTGGGAGGAGGTGAGAGGTGAGAGGTGAGAGGAGGGTGTATTCACATGCAAACTGTTCAAAGCTTTATTTCCTCATTTGACGGTTTAATTACGGAAGAAATCTCGAGAATAAAATCATAATATTTCAAGAAAAAATTCATAATATCATGAGAATTAACTAATTATCAATGAATTAATAAACTTCAACGTTAACACCAAGGTCACAGCTATGACAGTCTAAATAAATAAGACTAAATGCTTTTTTCCAGGTGATTTGTAATACATGTATTCTAAACACTAGGTACATACAGTATATTGTGTGTTAGCAAGTTATGAAACATTAAATGTCATGTCATTCTTCAGGTGACACACTATAAAGAGCTACGAAGTTTCCAGTTTAGGTCAGTTTCATTTTAATTGAAGAGCTTCAGTCTGACTAGACCATCACATGTTCATCTAAATGCTGTTTCAGAGTTTTCAGAGGAATTAAAGATTTTGAATATCAGCATAAATTGGAAACTATTCGCAAATTCAGCAGAAAAAAAAATCTGCCCTGTACTGGCTGAACCGTGACTCACAGTATCAACCTGTCCAGTGTGGAGGAGACAGCGACATGAGGGTGTTTTTATGACAGACGAAACGAGGCACTCACCTGCAGGTAGACCTTGTTGGGTCCACTGACGTAGTCCGCCACCCTACCGAAGATGAGACGCCCCACGCACGACGTGATGCCGATGCACATGAGCAGAACCTCTTTACGGGCTTCTTTTCCAAAGGTCTCCACGACGTGCTGCATCTGTGGACAGTCACGGAAACAGATAACACACTAATTAAAACATTCACAACAGAGGTGAATAGAGGTAGAACTTTAAAGTCCTTCAGAGGGGCCATAGCTGCTGGAAACCAGTATTTTCCAGTTTTTAATTGTCTGAATGTAAGTGACAACAATCTGAACCCACAGCGCTGAGTGTGACAGATGTCTTGAGTAATGGTCAAATCACTCGCGGTTTAGAGGTAATGACTCATAACCCAGTGTAGACAGTATGACGGATTGTATAAGGAAATGAAAACAAATTGCTGTTTCATCTACAACAGTCATTTGGTCTGAAATTATTAAATGTATTAATTTTGTCACATTATTTCACTTGACGTCTTTGTCATGAAATAGCGGCACGGAACGTTAGCTAGCATAATGCTAAATTTACTGACTTAACAAAATGTTGCTTAATGTCAAGCAAGTTAAAAACATAATTTTCCTCCATATGTTGAATGCTGGCCGATGATTTTAGTGATTTAGACAGACATGTTAGTTTAGATCTCAGCAGATATTTCATTATTTAACCGGTTTTATTTGAGGATCTACATGTGATGGGCAGCGTTTTGCATACTTTCTGTATAAATATAGGCTGTAAGCATAAGTGAGGTTTGAAATATTTTGCAGTGACGAGGCCAAGAAATTCCCAGTCTTCCAAACAGAGTGGTGTCTCCCCCATGCTCTGTACCGTATCAGCCATTTTCATGGAAGAGTTTGCTGTTGCTACCATGGCACAGGCTACTACCCATCTGCACCCGTGTCCATATTTCAACATTCCTCATTTGTCTTCTGTGGATGTTACTTTCCACTTCAGACTGTGAGGCCCAGATGTTCATTTTCCAGACTGCCTGCTGTATCTGTGTCTTTCCTCTCCCAAAGCGCAGATTTGTGAGGCCCAGAGTTTTGAGAGCCAGAGGAGAAGAGGGGGCCTATTGTGTGGAGTCCTGCCAGCTCCTTCTACCTCCAGGCAGGCCGCAGCAGTCCCGCTCAAAGGGCCGGTCTGTCTGCTCCGCACCCGCCTCATCACCCTCTACCAAGTCACACATCCATCAGCGAAGACCTCTGGATGACTTCTCGTCTTTGTCAATACGCCACAGCTCCGGGCTCTGTATTCATTCCCGTCCTGCTCAGAGGGGATTCTCCCATCCAAGAAAAAATGTGCACACATGCATCAGCAGGGTTACGGATTTTCAGAAGTTCTGTTTGAAAGGTTAAACTTTATATTTATTACTGCCTCTGGGCATAAAGCAGTGACGGGTTGGTAAACAGTCACTGGAGACAGTTAATGTAAGAATGTTGTTTTTTAATGCATAAAAAATCACAAACTATGGAGTATTTTCTATATTTGCCGGGTGAATTCTACATAATAATTTTTGTTTTATGGTTAAGCACCCTGAGATCCATCCATCCATCCGTTAGCTATACTGCTCATCCTTGAGGCTCTGTCTATCCTGCAGGTAACGTAGAGTCACCACTGCAGCTGCATGTCTTTGAACCGCTTTTCTTTTACAGTATGTGGTTTTGTCGTTAGCTTCCGTGACGTTATGAAGTCGAGACATCGGGCCTGTTTTTTCCACGTTGTTTCCTGTAAAACTACAACAAACTGGCACGTGAAAAATGTTCAGTTTGAATGACTCTCAGAACATTGCTCACTATTTCTTCACTCGTGAAATTTATTTCTTTGGTTTATGTGAATTATCCCTCTGCCTGACTCGTCATCTGTGGGAACACACTGTGGTCTAATGAGTTGATTAACCAACACCACAAACACACCCCCCCCTTGATAAGAACTGTCTGGTCAGCTGTGTTGTCATACGGTTGATTACTGGACAGACGTGAGGAGGAAATCTATAAACAGTGTAACAGTGACCGGCTGGGTAAAAGCTACTGGACGTTCCAGGCAGACACGAGAAGACATTCCCTATTGAACTCTCTGACTCGTTCACACACTGCATCAATTATGTCTGTTATGTATTCGAGGCTTCCTGCGAGGTTGCAGGATGGTGCTGTGTCCCGTGTTCGGTCATTATGAATAAAAAGACAGAAAAACAAAGAGCACCTTTGCTCCTCCTGTGTCTTTAATGAGATTAGATGCTCATATAGATTCAGCAGTGCTCGCACCACCCTGTTATCAGGGAGTTTTGACATTTAAACACAAGCTGATGAATCCTCACCAACTATCAGTCTGTCTCCAGTCTCCAAACACTGCTGCTCCCTGTCTGTCTACCCCACATTACAAAAATAGTTCATTTAAAAGGTCTTTGCAAACATTTGGAAAAGGTAACTTCATTTAAATTGATAGACGAAGCACTGTTGCTTATCAGAGCTGCTTCTAAGAGCAGTTTGCAGCAGGATATAAGTTTGTTTGCTGATGGAGGGCGTGGGCGTCTTCGATCACGTTTTCAGGAACACGAGTTCACATTCATGTGATGCACCTCGGAGCCTGACAGGTGGCCTTGTGGCACAGAACATTATAGCCCTGCAAAATAAATACACACACACACACACACTCACACAGGCTCAAACACACACACATGCATCAATGCAGGCACCTGTTTTCCTAATGAATGATGCATGATTCAGAATGCACGACTGATAGACTGATAGAGTAAGAGAGGTGTTGAAGTAAAAAGAAATGAGACTCCAAACAGCAGCACGCTGGTTGCAACACGTCCTGCTTTACTGAGGCTGCAGATGGTGAGTCCAGAAGGAACATGTAGGTCTTCGAGACACTAGAACCTGGTGTTGATCATTTAGATGGTAAAAAAATTTTATCGTTAAAGTTATAATCTGTAACTTTTCCACATTAAAATGTCTAAAAATAACTAGACCTATGTTCTGTATGTTGTTGAGTTGTGTTCTTACATTATCACAAATGTTTCCATCGATTCTCAAACCAGAGAAATCTGTGATTTTAATCGTAGTGGTTTTCAGCTCTGTATTTGAACCGGATGAAGGATTTTAGTCGTCAGACATTTGGACCTGAAGTTATCAGAGAAACAAGCTGAGTAAATGTTCAGCTCAGCTCCCAGCGTCCACTGAAGAGCGTTGGTGAATCTCTGTTATTTAAAGTCAACGCTTTAGAGGAGGAAGAGGAAACCTCTGTGGAGAATTCAGCTGCTGGTAAAAACCTCCTGAACGTCTGGTTCATGAGTTATCAGAGAAATAATCCTCAGTACAGACTCTGGTGAGTAGCAGGACGGTGTGTGTGGATTCAGTCAGAATAAGGTACGATGTGTAAACACAATACTTGTTGGAGGGAAAATTCATTGTGTGTTTTGATGTTTTAACAAGAAAAATATAGAATATCAGCAGATTTCCTCACAGAAGTCAAACAAGAGTGTAATTAATGACATTAACGGAGGCACCAGAGCTCCTGCTGCAAAAAATAAATCTATAGTTGCTGGAATTAACACGACATGCTGCATCAGTTAACCACAGAAATAAGAAAAACTAAATGACTAGCTGGCACATCACCAGCACTCTCTTGAAACCTACTTTAATTGTGTATTTTAGGGTGAATTTTCCCTTTCAGAACCTTAACCCACATTCTCTCAGCTCTCTCTTTTTGGCTGTTGAATGCTCATTAAACATCTAACACTCCTCCAGCCCACACACCACAGCCCTGCAGGTGCTCCTCATTAAACACACTGAAACAAGCTTCATCTCAAAACAAGAGACAGCTTTGTAAAGAAAAGACACGTTCTGTATGATGCTACGGTGATTATCTGTCTGGGTGATCAGATCAAACTTTCCCGAGTCCTGTTCTTCTGTTTGTCTTTTATTTCTGCACAGTAAGCAGCAGAGAGAGCATATTTAAATTCTTCTACCACTGTACCCCGGGTGCTTCCACACCTTTATCAACATTACAGAGCAAACACAGCCAGCGTCTTATCTCAAATTCTCAGAAAAGTGTGTATGTCCCAAATTGGACTTTACTCTTTTATAGTCTTTATGTGCACTGTAACAAGGCTCGGCATTAAGAGCGGCGGCGGGGGGGGGGTCTGTGTCTAGGGAAGGACAGCTGCTGGGGGTTTAAAGGCCAGAGGTGGCGCTGAGGCTGTAGCCGGGCCCCTGTGGCGTCCCAGTCTGAGGGAAAAAGTGTTGAGAAAACAGGCTAGGGTCCCCGGGACAGGCTGATCTCCCTCCAATAACAGAGTCACCATGTCCAAACAAACAGTCGCCCCCTGAGCCCGTCCAACACATCCCGCCTCTCCTCTGCAGCCTCCTCGAGAAAATGTTTCCCCCAAAGTCCCAGTTTCTCTTTTTTTTAAAAAACAAAAAAACAGGCTAATTCTGGAAAGCTACATCTGTTTACAGACTGACTGAAATAAGAGCTGCAGGCTGAGTCTTCCTGTCATATTTAGCTACGATCTCCAGGACCAAACAGCTAGTATGACACATGTATGTCACAGTCGCTCCCTCCTGAGTGACAGTGCTGAATAACAGCCAGAAGTGTTTTTAGAGAACATTATGATGTCACAGTGAAGTAGACCTTTGACCTTTTGGATATTAAATGCCATCACTTCATCTATTTATCCCGTCAAGACATTTGTGTTCAACTGTGTCGTAATTAGCGAATGAATTTATGAGTTATGGCTAAAAAGGTGTTGTTTCTGTGTTCAGGATCATTTGTTAAGATGAAACCATCAGAACAAGATCATTTTTTAGAATAAGAGTTTAAAGAAATGAGCGACCCGCTGGAGAAAAATGATCACTAATTAGAGTAGTGTATTTTATCTACATGCATTTCTGCACAATGAAAGATCAAAAACAACATTTGTGAGGTGTTTAAGTTAAAATAGAAAGTGTTTTCTGTCCAGCTACAGTCTGTTACAATAAGAAGTGTCTCGTGCTGTATCGTTCTTCTAATCAAAGATTTGAGAGTTTTTTGAGAACCTTTGCCTTTCTTACACCTTCCTAATGGGCAGAGACAATCTTGAGTACACTTCCATAGTCATAAACCATCTAGTGAAACCCCCCCCTCCGCTGTAACACTCTGTACCATCACTGTATGTTTGGAAGACCCTGGCTTTACTGCATACTCCTCCCCTCTCACCTTTCACATTAATAAAGCTCACGTAGCTAGTATGTGTTTTGATATCTGTGTTGTTGAAGCTCCCAGTTGACCTCTCGCCCTCATTCCACCCTCGTGCCAACGAGCACATCCAAAACATGGGATCAGGATACTGGGAAATCCCACCACGGAATCCCTCTGTTGGCATTTACGTGCTGTTATTTGTCATTGGACTGACCTTCGACCCGGAGTGTGGGGTGATGATACCCAGTAACACAGTAAACACATAAACACGCACTACTTGTGGAAGCCGGCGAAAGTAAATCTGACTGACAGCAGACGAGAGGAGAAAGTATAAAACACAAACCTACCAGATGGACGTAAGGCACATAGTAGCCGTAGAGTGCTGCAGGAACACCAAATGCCCAGATACGATATCCCAAAGACTTCCAGATGTTGAGGTTGAAGACCTGGCTCATGGGTGGGCACCGACTGCTTGTTTGGGTGGTGGGGGATTTGAGGGGCAGGAGGGGCTTGTAGGTGAAGCCTGCCAGCATCAGCACAAACATAAGGATGCAGAGGATGCGCATGGTGTTCTGGAGGCCCACTTTCTCCAGCAGCCCTGACAGCAGGAAGGGTAAAGTGATGGTGAAGATGCTGCTGCCGGCCGTCACGATGCCATTCACCAAACCCAGGCGCTTCTTGAAGTAGTGGCCCAGGATGACGAGGCTGGGCTGGTAGGCGAAGGAGCAGCCGCAGGCGAACACAATGCCATAGGTGAAATACATGGGACCCAGGGACCTGTGAGACAGCACAACAACCAGATATGTCACTGTACAGCCTTTTGAACATACAAACATATGAGCTGTTTGTATATGGCTCATTCTGCAGTGTTTTTGCTCCATTATCCAGATGAATCAAATAATTGATCAACTAAACACATGTTTTGTTCTTCTCCTTGTTTAATTATCTGCACATTCAATGGCTAGATAATAAGAACTAGAATCACCTCCTCGAGGTTGTATCCCTCTGCCACTCAGACTAGTTCCAGGTTACATCCCTGTTTATCTAGAGTCATATAACATATGAACCATTTGTGTGAAGTTCAGACAGAGGGTTTCAAATCAAATCCCCTGATGGTTGGTGAAGGTGTCCCTCAAGCATCAACATTAGGCCCTCTGCTGTTTGCATAAATAAAGTTAATTTTCCAGCTGAGCATTGCAATGTCCATGTGACGTGTCCAGTGATGTCTGGACATAATATAGTCTGTAATTTACTTCATTTAAAGAAGAGATTGAACAGTAAATTCAACAACTTAAGATGAAAGTGATTTTTGTCCAGTGGAGCAGGTTCAAATAAACGCAGGATTGTGCTCCTGTTTGAAGTAAATAGATCTGAGTTACCCACTTTATGAAAAAGCTTTATGACAGAAAAAAAAGCACACAAAGAAGAAATATTGCACCTTGCACTGTCCAGTGCAGCCGGCTATCAGCCTGCCCCTTGTTTGACACTCACTTGATAAGCACTAATTCATTTATAGCTCATTTATTGCACTAGAAAGTGATGACCATGTTAGAGCGCCACTTCGTTTGGATCAGATATTTCTGTGTGTTGGTGTGAGTGTTTCCTCACCTGTGCGGGATTCCAGGAAATTATTAACAACAGTGTGTTAAATACAGATGTCTGTTAAGTCAAGACCACCCACACTGCAGAGGGAGGTAACACGATGGTGATATACCAAATGTTTATATATTTGCAGTATTATCAACTGAGTGTTTTCAGTTGCTAATGCAAACCAAACATTTCCTACTGCTGCACCTTCACATTAAAAGCATTTAACTGGTGAAATACGAGTTGACTTTTATTATGAAGTAGTCACAGAAAATGCAACGTGTTTGTCGGTGAGCTTCTAGTTTTGTTCATCATAAATGCGTCTATGGTTGCTCACAGATTGATGGGTAATTAATGATTATTGCCAGAATTTATTAAAACGACAATAGTTTGTTTTGCTGCCCCTGCAGTTCTGTGACTTGTAGTATTAATATTAAATACACCAGGACCGAAATCTTGAAGTGCTTGAGTGTTTCCCAAATAGAGAATGAGTAAATGCTACTGTAATGTAATTGTAAGCAGCTATATCGACATTTTTAGTGTTTATAAATATATTAATCACAACTATAACTCCGCTTTTAAAAGTTCTCCTATGAAACATATATAACTGGCATATAAGGATTAATGAATATTAGATAATGCAGCATTGTCTTCATAGGTTTCAAAATGTGAATGATTTGCACGTGTTTTAACAGTTATTAAATGTTTTATAACACGTTTGTAATAATAAATCATAGATTTTATATGATTACAGTTACTGTGTTATCAAATATTAATGAAGTGTTCATTAACTACATCAATTACAGAGACTTCATAGAGGTTTTCATTGTTAACAAATTGATTAATTAACACGTTTTAAATATCCTTATACATTCTTACAACTACACCATTGTTTCATAGATTAATCTCACCACAAAGTAAATTTAGTAATTTTCAGTTATATCACATGATCTCAGCAGAGTTTTCCCAGTTGTAATGGGATGGTAACTGTTAAAATTTCCCCTCCTCCGAGGACTTGAAAGACTTCCTGTCTGCGTTGGCTTTAAAGTGAGAGATGGGCGACTCCATCTTTTGACAACAATCATGTGATACCATCAAAAGCCCCAGAACAACTACGAAATGGACTTTGTTTTGTTGACGACTGTTTCTAGGGTCGAGCTTGAATGTTCGGTCTCAACTTTGAGGCAAACTTGGACAAGAAGTCCTTAAGCTGCTCAGAGGAGTGGAAATTTGTGCATCTTTGATCTGCTACAGGAGATCATCTGATACAACTGAGAGCTCCAGAGTAGCTACTAAATGTGACCTTGAGGTGAGACTGTTTCCAAGGTCAAGTATAAAAGTTATAGTGAGTTTTAAGTGGTGTTTAGTTAATTTGCAGGGCAGCACTGGTGACTCTCTTCTACAGGAAGTAGCTAAGGTCAAAAGTCACTAGATTTGTCACTAGGCTAGGCCAAAACTCATATTGAACCTTCAAAGAGCAACGGCCAATGGGGAAACTCCAACACTAGCATGACTGACGCTATGACTTCATCAGTTAGTCAGCGACAGGCATTCACGCTTATGCGGTCAAACCATCTCCATTTAGGAAACAGCTCCTGATCTTTTAATGTAAAAACTATAAAGGGTTTTCTTCCTTACGTGACAAAGGAGCTGGCCAGGAGGCCAACCAGGCCGACAGCGGCGCCGCCCACTGCAGTAACTCTACAGCCGAGGATGTCAGTGCAGACGCTGACAATGGGGGAGCAGAAGAAGATCATCCCCATGGAGAGGGAACCCACCCAAGCTGCAGGAGAGAGAGAGAGAGAGAGAGCAAGAGAGGGTGAATGAATGTGACGATCATTTCACATTCAAAACAGACAACAAACAAAACAGTCTAGGGCAAGATGGTGTTCAATATTAAAGCTACAGATGCCACACAAACACACACGCAGACACACACATTGTACAGTCTGTTTACTCAGGAAACCAGCCGCCATGTCATGAGTTTCCTCCCTTAGATAGTGGTCATAAATCACACTCCATGTTGTTTGTATCTGCCTCCATGTGTCTTTGTATCCTTGATGAAAACAGCTCTAGAGATGCCACTTGCCTTTTCAAGACCAAGTGCGCAATGACAACAGCAGGAACACAACACCGAGTGGACAGGAAAGAGTGATCAGGAAAACACTTGGGCCTAATGTCAACACAGATACGGTGGGAATATAATTTACGTCATGCATACATCATGATGTAACATCTCGCTTACCGCCCTCACTAAAAAATAATACAGGCAAATAAACACAGTACATCCAAATTACCATTAAGAGGTCCCACTCATATAATTCCTAGAGATACTCAATGGTCACCCTCTTTGTCATTGGGTTGTTTCAGCATTGGCTTGAAGTTTAAACATTTACATCAGAAAACCCTGGAGCATGATGGGAAATGTAGGATCGAGGAGCCGGTTGCACAAAACACCTTAAGTTAAATCTGAGTCACGGGTCTATAAAATAAAAACAGTTGAGAAAAACACCCTTAAGTGTTTTTAAAAAAAAAAAAAGTATTTAAGGTTTTCTCCTTATCTTAGTCTTACACCTAAGGAATCACTTAAAGTCAATTAAATTGTTGCTTAGTGACTTCAAAACAACAGCAGGATGAGATAACAGCTTCTTTAATGTTACCGGAAAAGTGACAACAGGTATCACAAGTGCTAATGGCAGCAAATCAGTAGTCTCCATGGAAACAGAATTTTATCGCTGTAAAATATCTTTCGCTGCTGCAAATACCATCTAAGAGATTCTGTGCAACACCCTCAAGTAACTCCCTCGGCTAAGGAGAGCTTAAACCTTAAGTGTCATGCTTGAGCAGACAACTTAAGGTGTTTTGTGCAACTGGCTCCAGTCTTTTTGGAGCTTCATGATATTTTTGCTGCTTCAATTCTGACCAGTCTTTGTAAAATCTTTTCTTGTAAATGCAATGCTGCAGTAATATCGTCATATTGACAAACCTTAGGTTCAGGTTTGCATAAAATCTCTTGTTACTGCTTTACCTGGGCTCGCTGACCAACCTCAGTAAGATTAGATTGTATTTTCTTAGGGAGGGAAAATTAGGCTTCAAAGGTCGTTTTTTATTCTTTTCCTACAACATTATTTCATGTTTTCGGAGCAGACAGCCAGTTATTTATTGTTCAAGTCGACTAGTGATTATTTTTTACCTCTGAGAAATGTCAGTAGAACTAAAACTGTGACCATCAGGACAACAGCAGGAAACATCTGCAGTGTTTGCTCAGTGCTTGGTCGGCAGTCTTCTGTCAGTCTAAGGTTAAATACCAGTGTCACATGCTGCAGCAGGCCTCTAATATGTGTTTAGATACATGGGACACATTGACAGCCCTGCAGATAAGCAGCGCTGGAATAGTAACAGCAGAGAAGGACTTGATAATATTGAGATTTATCAAAGAAAACAAAAATCTAACAGACTCAGAGAACTTGAAAAGCTTTTGGCCTTATCTCAAGTTGTTTTTATATTACTGGGCAGACATCATGTGACATGTGCTGGAAAAAACTCTTACTTCTCTAGAAATGCTTACGTGCGCACTGCGAAGCAACACTGACTAAACACACAGGTACACAAATTGTGCAAGCCCACAGAGCAGCACCCTTTGACCGTGGAGAGTACAGGAAAGCTTGGAGGGGGTGACATGTTTTGGCAGGGACGACTACCTGGGACACCTCTAGGCCTCCAATCATACCACAGTCCTATACTAAATAAAGACGACAACAACAAGCATGCACATGGGATGAAAGAGAAGGAAGTGTTGAGGTTGTTTTTTCTCTGTGGAACAGCTAGTTTCAGTGTTGAAGTTGTCTGTTTCTTATGATAAGTAAGGGGAAACCACCGTGTCAGGTTTCAGGGATATTACTGGTTTTGCTGTCCCCCTGTTTATTCTGAGAATCCTCATCTCACCCCACGCTGTCAGAGTATTACACCTCTCATGTTTCCCCATGAGACAGAAGTAATGAAGCAGTTTAAAAGAAAAACACCCTGCTACCCTGACACGGTAAGTCATAACTGTACTGTCTAGTTAATCTGCAAGGCTATAGTGCTAAGAAAAGCAAACTTTAAAATGGATGGGGCCCAATTTGTTTTCATTCCTTAGCCTGTCTGAGTGTAGCTGTTGTCACGCTTGAGTGCTCACAGTAACAATGTTTACCATGGTTACTTTAGTTTTTGTGTTATTATGCTATTGCTAACATTTGCTAGCATGCAAAATTGCACTGGATGCAAAGAAAGCTGAGGTTGATGGGAATGTCATTAGTTTTGTGGTAATTTAGTTATAAATCAAAGTATTTTTCAAATTCAAATTGAGCTGAAGATGGTGCTGGATAAAAGTGTGTGTGTGGGGGGGGTTTATTTGAACAGTTTAAGCTAACTGCAGATAACTCAGTATCACACGTTTAACAACAATTAAATGACAATTAAGAGATTTACCGAGAGATGAAACTAATGGAAAAACCAGAGATAGGCGCTTGAGCTGTTTTATTACCAGTTTCGTTATAGTGTAGTTTGTCCAGCAGAGAGTGCTGCGTCTCCCCTTTAATCCCTGCGACTGACTGAACGCATCACAGCTCAGCTGACCACTACAGAGCGGGAGCAGAGTCCGCATTTGAGCATCTGTGTCTTTGTGGAAAGATTCTCATGTCCATGTGTAATACATCACTTGATTGATTACAGTGAAGTAGTTGAGGGGTGTGGGCTACAGCAGATGCAATAAAACACATACTTGAAGTTTTCCTGGTGCTAAATTAGTTAGCCACAGTGCTAGCTAATGCAATGGCTTGTCAGTTCAACTCAACTCATTCTGCTGAATGATGGAACGTGACCATATCTGCAATTTGCATGTCAGTACATGTTAGTGGTGCATGGAAACACGTCTGATGGTTTAAAGCTGAGATACTGCACCTCTTCAGAATGAACGCTAGCTAAGTTAGCTAACTCTGACTACCACTATTCAAAACAGCTGGCTAGAACCGGTGATATTTGAGGGAATATTAGAACAACAGAAATACACAGAAATAAACGTACACATTGAGACAAGTAAACAATAATGAGAGCTGATTCAGCTAGTCCATGCCCCCTCCCTCGATTTTCTCTTTTCAATAACAAAAATATCATAATCAGATGTTTTAAATGCTGAAACATTGAAATTGGTATCAGTCTTAAAAATCCTGTCTGTTGGCCTCTAGTCTGCAGCAGATTTCACGGTAAACACACTAAACTCAAAAAACCAGTGAGTGGTGTTAAATAATTCTATGTTTGACCCTGTTTGATATTTATTAACACATCCGTACATTTTTTTGTTTGAAATGTTGTTTTTACTTTTATGGCAGCAGCATGCAACAAATTTCCCAGTTAATCTTGATCTTGATAAAAAGTCGAAAGATCGTTAGAGGCAGGAGGATTCATGCTCTGGAATCCTTGAACATCAAGTATAAAATTTCATGGCAATCGATCAAATATTTGTTGAGATATTTCAGTTTGTTTTCCCACACTGCTGTGAATCAGTTCAGAGGTAGGAGTTGTATACATTGCACAGATGCTGAAGTTTGAGTGGTTAGATACTCATTTCATTCATTCAGTGTTAAAAACGGAGCCAAACTCAGAGTCTGAGTTAAACCAAACCTGAACTGATTACAGATGTTTACTGGACACAGTCAAACACATTTTTATACTTCCACATGTAAAAATACTGACGCATAACCTACATGCACCTCTCTGGTTTCCCAGTGAGAGGACCTCTTCCAGACACCACAGTCACGAGAATGGCCCAAATTCAATGGGATCCGCTCTGCCTGGGCTCATATTTGTGGGGATATCAGCTCCCTTTAAGCAACATAATGTAATAAATGGCAGTGAACTAGAAAGGCAAAGAATCCCTCAAAGACAACAGGAAATTGTTGTTATGGTTTCATCTGCCGGCTCTCTTGATTTAAAAAGCATTTACGCTTCAGACAAAGAGGAATTCCAGATTGAAAAATGTAATTTCAGGATCCTCTCTGTCCCAGTGACATCCACCGCTAGCCGCGGGCCCCGCTTGGACACTGAGACAGAGTTGCTCTAAGTCGTCTGTCTGCTCTGTTAAAGACTCCTTGCTGGAAACCACTGTGCTATGAACCCGATCACCCCGCGATGACTGAACCTACAGCAGTGAGCGCTGCATAACACCCTACCTCCTGTAAACCAGAAATGATGTGTTCAAAAGCCTCTGAGGTGACACTACTGACAGCTGAACTGCAGACTTTGACCTCAGAGTCCAGTTCCTCTGTATGTACAGGTCCTATCAGCTGTTTCACCCATCTTTGCTGCTGCGAACAATACTTTTCTGAATAGATTGAAAGATGGATGTTATTTAACTATTATATAAAAATGGATATTGTTACAATATTTTTTAGAAAATTGAATTGCCAATGTTTTTCATGGTTTTGGTGCCCACTTTTAGCTAAACTGTTTAAACAGTTTATTCATTACATTTACCTGTTTCAACTGTTTCTCCATTTACTGTTAGGTAACCAAACATATATCTTTATATATATATATATACATAGTATTACTGTGTTGCAATCATAGCCTCTAAATAAAGATGGATGTAGCCTCTGTGACGTCACCCACAGGTTTCTGAAGAGCGGTTTTGAAGCTCACTGTGACTGACTCCACCCCTAACTCCCAGCTAATCCAAATATGGACATTACTTTAGTCCTTAATAAAATGTAAAGGTGAGTTATATAAACAGTTGTCATGAAGGCC